GCCTAATGTATTTTTCAAGCAAAACCATCAAAATAAAGTACCGCTAAATCACACGACAGTCACATGATTTCAATTACCTGATTGAGTGACTCCAGAGTGAAGTACATGGCAGAGTAGGAGGTGGAGAGAGGCAGGTATTGCTTGGAGACTCTGTCAACTTCAGCCATTACAGTATCAGTCTCCTCCATCTTCCTCTGAACTTCTGCAGCCTCTTCCTTAAGAGTCTCAAGCTCAGTAATGATTCTAAAAATAGACACAACAAACATTACATCATGTAATAATTGTACTATATTTAGATGTATTGTTACTATTATTAGTGATGATTCTAAAAATAAACACATTAATGATTACATCATGTAATAGTTGTTACTATATTTAGATGTGTTGTTACTATAATTAGAAGTTACTACATGTATAATTAGAATTGGGGATACCTGTTGTCGTCTAGGATAGGACAGGGTTCAGGATTGGGTCGAAGCTCTCAACGTCCTAGAGGGATTAAGTATGAAATAATGAGAGTGTTTCCTGACAGGGTTCTTAGTTCTAAAAAAATCCAAAAATATTCCCACTGTTGGAAAAAATTCAGAAAAAATTCCAAAAATAAAAATAAAATAATTCAAAAATATTTCCATGATCTCGTTAAAAAATCAAAAAAAATTCCAAAAATAAAACAAAAATAATCAAAAAATATTATAAAACTCATGATTACCGTATATCAGGTATATTCCAATGCATGAAAAGTGGTGGAAATATTAAGTTCAATGATAGAATAATTCGGAAGCCTTTTATATTCCGAAAATATTTTACTTGCTATTATTTCCATGAACCACCTGGCCTGGTAAGTAAATCTGACTTCTCCACTTCTGAATCAACTTTAGCAACACTTCTAACTGGCAAAGAAGGCTCTTTATGGCCTTCGAGTTAGAGCCATGGATAGTTATGAAGCCACGTGTTCATATTAATTGCACAATACCACATATCTTATATTCCTTTTTATCAGCATATTTTAAAATTTCATAATATTTATTTTCGCAATGGATTGCTTTTCCAAAATTATTAATGCATTGAAATATACCTGATATACGGTATTAAATTTAAGAAAGCTAAAAATATTCCCTCGCTCTCTGAAAAAATTCAGAAAAATTTTCATAAACAAAAATAAAATAATCCAAAAATATTCCCACGCTGCCAAAAAAATCAGAAAAAATTCGAAAAATATAATAAAACTATTCTGAAAATATTTCCATGCTCTGAGAAAAAATCATAACAAATTCCAAAAATTAAAAAAAAAATCTAAATAAATTCCCACACTCCTAAAAAAATTTTTTTAATTCCAAAAATAAATAAAAAGAATCTGAAAATATTCCCACGCTCTCGGAAAAAATAAGAAAAAATTAACTCAAACTTTATACACAACATAAGGACAAGTACGTGTATATGTATCAGAAAGTATTACAAAAACTGAGAATTCTCTACTTTTTAATCTTGGCGAAATTTAGCTAATGCCCCTGTACTATTAGTAACGCGGTAGTGTTACTAAGTAGGATTCACCC